ATTCGTTTTCAAAATTCATTAATTTAACGTTTATTTAATTTTATTTAATTTATTTAATGTTTATTTTGAATTTATTTTTTATTTGAAATAATGGTTTAAAAAACATTTTTTAAACGTTTATTTAATGTTAATTAAATGTTTATTTTACATTAATTATTCATTTGAAATAAAAGTTTAAAGAAATATTTTTTAAATGTTTGTTTAACGTTTATAAAATGTTTATTTTACATTATTTATTTATTTAAAATGTAAAATAATAAGTATTTATTTCATGTTCATTCAAATGTATAGTAAATGTTTTATTTCACATTAATTATTTGTTTGAAATAATGATTTAAGGAAACATTTATTTAATGTATATTAAATCTTTTTCAAAAATACAGGGTGGGCCATCTATTGGTACGTTTTTAAAAATGCGATCAAATGAGCATACATTGATATTTTTTATTAATTTTTTTTTTGTTGTGAAGCTAAAAGTATCCGCGTCAAGAATGAAAAACGATTTCGTTCATGTGGCTCCCTCTACTGGCCTTACAGTATGCCATTCGGTCACCCCAATTATACGACGAAATTCAAAAACGTACCAATAGATGGCCCACCCTTTATATATGATGTTTAATCAATATTTGTTTTTTGTTATTTATTTATTTAAAATATGTGTAGTGATTCATACAGCCACAACGTTGGCAGCACTGGCGCAACGCAGCGACGACATCCGTGTCCACGCGTGCTTTCAGTACCTCATGTGAACGTACAGAGAAACGATCCCTTCGCTTCATTATGTTGTAACTTTCTTATAAACTTATAAACCTTTGCATTCAGCTAATTCGTCACTGTACCCTCGCTAACCTTTCCAAAATCCAACAAAGGTTATGGTCCCAGGCACCGCATCTACTACGAGGATAGTGACGTGAGTGAATAATATAAGAAAAGGGATCGCACAGAACGTCGTCGGTAGCCATTGTTTCCTCGTCCGTTTTCCGTGAAACGAAACGTGGTTCGCGCATACAGTGTTCTTGATTCGTATCGAAAGTTTTGACAATTTCCACAAGTGAGTGTTCCTCGAAACTCGTGAAGAATGCAAAGTGTTTCGTAGAACGAAAATTGAAAGAGAACTTTCGAGGAAATTCTGTTCAAGGGCGAAGCGTCGCGTCATAGTGTAGACGAACCTTTTCGCTCTACACATCCGCAACAGGTAACTTGGTCGCGTCGGTAAGGAAGAACACGCGATTCTCCGTAGGCTTGTCGAACGACGCTCGTGAAATAAACAATGACGGAATACAAAACTTCGATTGAAAAATTAAACAGTCTCAATTACGCTTCTTGGT